CTCACAAGATGTTACGTTGCATTATGTTCCATTGGGATTAGACCAAGAGATTGCGGTCTGTTTGAATTGCATGTCTCTGGAGGTGTAGAACGTTTCCTGCTATCTTCATGAACACCAGGGTTGCTCTTTACTAAGAGACGAGGTCCCAACCGCATTCTTTGTTTTAGTACTGAATTGATTATACTAATTGGATTGGTGGACATGAAAGTTTCTTGCTAAAATAGATAAATAGCAATTCGTTAGCTTAACTGAAGCTGGGACATTAAAACTTCTTTGGGCGATAGTTGAAAAGTGAACCTCTTTTCGGATTCAATTATTGCCTTCGAATAGAATCAATATGGACCCACCTACTGGAGATACATTATTTCTCTTTTCCCCAACTCAGTTTCTCCGAACGATTTGAGAAAACGGAAGTACTGGCTTTCGACCCTGGGGCAAGATGGTCGGGATGAATAAAGGAATAGCTTTGATGGAGTCGTATCTCTCTTTTAACTCTTTTGAGGGTGGTAGCCCCCATATGTAACCATCTCTTCGGGACTTTCCTTCTCTACGTCCATAGAGGCTACTGCACTAAACACCATCGCACCATTGGCTCGCATCATTTTCACCAAGTTGGTGAAAATGAATGCAGGAAATTATTTAATTTTTTTCGGGATCTGAAATCATTATCTCGTTCATAAATTAAATGTTTTCGTTAAAGAGGGAAAAGTACTGCTTAGAAATCTGAAATGGATCTTGATTCAGGCTTCCATTCCTCTGATCACAATGCAGGTAGTTGGTTCAGAAGTGCTTCGGCATGGTTATTCTTACATCTTCCCAAGGATTCATTTCAATTGGTGACCGTACTTTGCATAACCCTCCCACTTGGGTCCCATCAAGGAATCAGTGCACAAGCCGATCGATCCTTGGCTAACTGGGACATACAAATAAACTTTATTGGCACTATTGACTAAACATGAATCACAGGACATGGGAATATGCCTTTTTGAAATGATTCTGCTCCTAAATGGAAAAATCACCAATGACTGCATTATGATGTGAACACGAAATGAATCAGGATAAACTGCGACTCGGATATTTCAAGACTTGCAAAAAATTAAATTTGATCACGAGTAGCCATGATTCGAATATTCTGAAATCTGGTTTTAAGCATTTCGTCACTTTCTCTTGAGTTCACCAAGTATTGATAGTTTTTGGAATCTTCTCATACCTTTCCTTCCATTTCTTTTCCTGATCGCGAAAAGATTCTTCCCGCTTGCATTAGTTTAACGTAATGAATAGAAAACGTCGTTAAGTTCAGCATCCACGAATGGAAGAAAGGGCGGGTAGTAGTGTTTGTCTTGAACTTCCCTCATCTTAGGGTTCCAGGTATAGTATCTTCTCTTCAAGATCCATACGTTTTCAGTCCCTGATGACACCAGTCTATGATTAAAATCAAGGCTCCTATGTTGCATATTGGGAGTGCATAGGACTGCATATTGGTAACACCAATGCATAAAGGAAAATTCTTATATCTCATGTCGAGTTTGTATTGTTGATATTACTTGACTGATGATGAAAGAATGTGGTGCATTCCTGTGAATGCATTGATTTGTCGAGTAGTACAAGCCTTTGATCACTATTTTTCGTGAACACATGTCAAAAGTCTCTATACACAGGCTCCAATTTTTTACCATTCCCAGAGGGAATTCTGTTTTATTAGAGCTCGTAGCGTGGACGTCGTTTTTTGAGGTAAGCTATGAACTTGACGGGCCCTTGTCTCTGCCACGGAAACCAAAAATGACCTTGGCTTCTTTCCATGCCTTTGTCATCAGAGATTTATCCTTTATGGGATCCGGGTCAAACATGGAAAAATCCATACCTTGTTCTTTGAATTCTTTCATACATTCCTCGAAAGGATCCATTTCCCCACTGATAAATTCCGCTTTCTTCTTTGCGTCTTCAAGGTATTTGATCCTCTGAACAAAGCCATCTTTTCCGTCTCGTCTCTCGCTCTCTATCAAGATATCAAGGTAATCGGTGAGGCGCAAAGGATCAGGCTTCAGGGCTATTACTTCGGGTCTCTGCAAGCACTTGTGCGCCCCCTTGGCCAGCTCTAAAATCTTGGCTCTCTCTTGGTTGAATTCCCTGATGAGTGCTTTTAGAACACCCTCAGATTTCAATTTTCGTCCTTGCGCCGATTCATATTTTATTTTCAGGTCCATGTACGTATTTGTCTCTTCTTCCTCGTATAATTCGAAGCGATACTGGTTGTTGTAATGATCACTCGCTGCGCAATTTTTGGGACAATTTTTACAAAATGTTACGGATCCTTCAGTTTCCATCGCAGCGCATTCGTTTTTCCTCTTATCATCTGAGATCATGCAAGGATAATGACATGTGAAGTTGCACAATAAACAATTTGTCACGAACTTTCCACCTTCCAAATCCACTTTCCTTTGCTTTGGGACCTTGACTTTATACTCAAAGTTCTTGTTAGCTTCTATCTCAGCCTCATGTTGTCTCAGCGCTAAATTTGTTTGCCTCAACGTCTCCAGTCTGGTAAAAGCTAGTGAGAGAATAAAACCTATAACACGGTATGCATTAAAAACTGTCAATGTACAGGGTGCCCATAAAGTAACGACATAACGATTTTTTTTCTCGTCGCCAACTGAAGTTTTACGTTGACATAGTCTTAAAGAGGACTAAATTCTTTATTCCGGAACACTAATAACATTAATTTTTTCTCAATCCCAGGTGCCTGAAAAACTGATATTTTGACAACGGCTGAAAATGCTCAGTATCCCGCAAAGAGCTTTTCCTCGTTCTCGTGAAGGTCGACCTTGTTTCGATTGGTCTTGCACTGACCCTGTCTCCTGAAACTTCCTAACACACTCAGAGAAATCGGTAAATCGAGATGATATACATATCTCAATTTTCGCATTTCGATTAATTTTTCTCAAGAGAAAAAAACATCGAATGGATTTTCGATTTATACCTCTTGTTTCCCGACCGTGCCGGCTCGCCTGAAAGGCGTTTGCAAAACCAATATGCATCTATAGCCGAGTTGAGGGGGTGGTTTGAGTGGCCCTGCATCGTCTAGACGCATGTTAACCTCCGTATTCCACTTAATCATGCCGAGGAAGCCCCCCTCCTCCCTTCCCCCCCATGAACCCTCGGGGTAATGCATTGACAGTCGAAGGATTCACAAGCAACCGCCTGAGTGCTTGGCCTCTTCCCCCCATCACCTTCCCTCCGACCCGTGCGAGTAGCTCGTGCGTCTCGAAGGGAATCCCTTGTAACTGCTCACTTCATTCTTCGAGTCCAGTTTCATACGGTGTTTGGTGCGTCATTCCGTTTGGTGCGTAGGTGGTGCACCATGTGTGGCCAGTATCGTAAGCTCCGACTGTTGACTATAGACTGTAAACAGTCCTGTAAGATTACATGGATTCCTATGGGAGAAACACGGTTCCTTCGCTGAAAGGCCCGTTATCTCTCCTAAATTAGGTTTGTCTGACGTTAAAGAACACCAGTATTTCTAGCCTATAATCTTGAATCAATTGGTGCTCCCGCATATATTTTCGGAAAGTCTCTCCTGTCCTAGAGGTCGTAGACTCGTCCTGCCCTGCCCCCCTGACTCATCAGAAAACAATTCAGCCACTGTGTACAAATTCAATCCGTCCAAAAACTGCGTATTTCCTGTACCCTTTGAAGGTCCGGCCTAGCCCTTCATCACCGTGGATGCCTAATATTATGTTTCAATTTCATCGATAATTTTGATTTAAACTCGGAGCTAGACTTCACCCTCCGTACTGAGTGTTATGCATGTTTTCATTATATTGTTATAATGATATGCGATTGAAGCAGTGACAGCTGCTTCGTTGAAGAAAATAAAAGTGCCCCATCGGTGGTGGGCGATAATTGGACATCATGTGGAATGAACATTGAACTACGTGTTGGCGGATGAAAAGTAGCTCCTGACAAATCTTCCGCGGGATATTAAGAATAACTCCAGAGAAGCACGTGGTAGCCTATCGTTACACATTCTCCTTGAGATGGCTCGAGAAAGTGAGAAGAACAAATCCTAGGCCTTTAATGCAATGATTGCGACTCTCGCGAATAAGTTGCCCTCCATGTGGTGCGTTTTTATTGCATCCAAAAGTTGATGTGATAACCACATCGAAAATTCGATGCGATAACCGTATCCAAAGCTCAATGCAATAAAGACGCATCACATGGAGGACAGTTTCTGTACTCCATGTGATGCGTTTCTTCGCGAAGAAAATGCATCGAACTGAGGCACTGAATTTTCTGTGTGCAAGATCATGAGTGGTAGGGTGAGAAGGCCCTTGGGACGTCTTGTAATGGCGTTTGAAGTTCTTTTGTGCTTCTGCTCATAGGCGGCGATTTGATGAGAAATTTGTGGGGCTCAGAGACAGTACTAGAAGTATTCCTTGTTCTTTCGCTAAATTTTTCTGGGTGGGCTCGAGCCCCCTGAGTCCCTATGCATCGCCGCCTATGTTTCTGCCACAGATTTTGACTCAAAATACCACTCCATGATCTTTATTCTTTGAGAAAAACTTAGCATTTTCGGCAGTTACAAACAAATTAGTTTTTCAGGTACCTGGGATGGGGGAAAATGAATATTATTAGAGTTCCGGAATAAAGAATTTTGTACTCTTTAAAGCTGTCAACGTAATATTTCAGTTGGCGACGAGAAAAAAATCGTTATGTCAAGTTACTTTATTGACACCCTGTATTCGTGACTGAGAAGACTTCTCACCGTTCTGAAGTTGAGGTAGGATCCCCTGGAGTGCTGCCTCCAATTGCTTCCTCTCCTGCAGGACTTCCTTCGTCAGTGATAGACTCACAGGCTTTGTATTCAGGAAGTCGTTGAAGAACTTGTGAAAGCTGGACTTTCCCATAATCCAGAACTTTCTTGTCAAATCATCAGGATCTGGTCTGACGAAGAATGCAGAGTTATTCAATGCAAATGATCTCCTGAAGGGGATGCCTGCAGCATTGATAGCACTCAGAGCGGGTGGTTTCTGGCTGTCCGAAAATGTGAATAGAATGTAAATGTTTTTCTCCACGTCTCTTCCAAACACGGCCAAAATTGAGTCGAAGATGTATTTTTGGGTTTGTGTCAGTCTTGCCTGAGAGATCGGAACAACAAAGCAGATTCCATCAAGTTGATCTACACCTATGTTTCCACCATCGGTAAAAAATTCCCTGAACATATTTCTCAATCGTTCATCTGCCTCGATTCCTTCAGTGTCACCAAACCCTGGAGTATCGATGACAGTCAAGGTAAAG